CTCCTTTCCCTGCTGTTCCTACTCCTAAAGCCTTAGGGAGGAAGGCATGAGGTGAGCCTCCTGACTGGCTAGACCCACAACTGTCCTTTCTCATCAGAACCAATGTAATGCCCATGTAGCTGTCTTATGAAAGGCCATCAATCACATTCATTTACAAGTTTACCTTTACCCTTAGTCATCAAGACCAGTGATCAGAAAACAATGTCATGGGAACCCAGGCCTCACCATCAATCATTGCCATTTAGAAGGGACCCTTAACATATGCAGAAACCATATCCTGGCTTGTGTCACTAACTGGAGCAAAAAGTCACCCGACAGCAAGGCCCACACTCACAGAGCATTCTACTACTTTCAAACCTCCTCCCTATCCGCCTGGTAGAAGGAGGATGGCACAGGATGCCGTGTGTGTGTGTGTGTGTGTGTGTGTGTGTGTGTGTGTGTGTGTGTGTGTGTGTGTGGTGTTTGGGGGCTGGGAGAGCAGATGGCACAGAGAGGGACACACACACACACACACACACACACACAGCTTCACCCATATGTTCAAGTTTAGAGGACTGTGTCTAAAGCAGAGAGTATGGGCTGCAGCTCAGTTAGCAGAGTGCTTGGTTAGCATGCAGGAAGCCTTGGGCTGTCTTCTCCAGCACCACATAAACCTGGTGAGATAGCACATGTCTGTAAGCTTAGAACCCAGGAGGTGAGGCAGGAGGATGGGGAGTTCAAGGTAACCCTTCATCACATAACAAGCAGAAGGTCATTGTTATGCTAGATCAGACCCTACCTCAAAATGTTTTAAATGAAGAATAAATAAACAAGCATAAAGGCACCTTGTTGTCAGCCGACTCATGTGTGAATTCAGCATTTAATCTGACAGCAGAAACCATGGAAGTCAACTGACATCTCTCACTGCCATGGAACCCTCTGGCAGTTGAAGGTTACTGGCTGCTAGCTGCCCATCCATTGCGCAAGAAAGGTAAACACCAACCTCCCCATGTGTCATGCAATACCTGGCTGGCAAGAATGCATAGCTTGGGGTCTAATTACCTTTGGGAAGCAAGCAAAGCCATACCCAGGGCGAGGTGAGGATCATTTTCTGCTGCCTCAGAAAGTCATAATTAATTTTGAAGCAATTTAAAGTGGTGCTAAAATATTGCTTTGAAAGGGATAGAAGGTGGCTCGAGGGTTTGTATTTGAGTCCAGGGTTATAATTATACCTATAATTGCTGTAGGCTGCCAAGTAGAGAAGACACTCCTGCGCCTCTTCCTCCTTTCGCTGGATGAAAAGAGCTTGGAGGTCTAGAGAAGTAGTGAACTTCCTGGATCAGCTACCCTCCCCCGCTCCAGAAACGTTCATTCTTTTACAGCCTTCTGCCACAGGCAAGGCACGCAGCTCAACTGGTAGAATGCTTGCCTAGCATGTACTAGACCCTGGGTCCAGTCCCCAGCGCGGCCTAAATGAAGTAGTGTATCACAATTCTAGCACTTAAGAGGTAGAGGCAGGAGGATCGGGAATTCAAAGGTCACCCTCAACTGTGAGTTAGAGGCCTGTCTAACATGAAGAGTCGTCAAAGGCTTCATGGGGGCCTATCTCAACCAAAACAAACATTAAAAAATACAGAGAGTGATGTTAATTGAAACCAACAAATGTCTCTCAGTGCTGGGTTGACTGACAATAGCAAGAGAAACTTAATCCCGTATTTTGTCACATGGGTGGGCTCTTGTGATGATGGAAGGGAGTTGGGGAGCTGGGTCTCACCCAAGGGACTCTCCGAGGTACAGCAAAAGGGCAAAACCAGTAATTCAACACCTTCACCAAGCGTCTCGAGCCCTGGGAACATGGGAGCACTCTGGCAGAGAGTGTGTGGGGTTTCCCTGGAAGGCAAGTGTTGGAAGGGGCACATTTCCAGGAAGGGAGCACTGCATTCTTCACAAATAGCTCTTTCGGCTCAAGGGAATAGGAGGACAAGAAGGGCAGGGGTAGATGGAACCACAGGGCAGGTGCATTGCTTAAAGTACCTGCGAGTTCTTTTTAGATTAAATAATATATGTTTTAATTATGTGCCTGTGTACATTTGTGCGTGGGTGTGTGCACACGCGTGCAGGCGCCGTCTAAGAACATCAGATCGCCTTTGAGCTGGAGTAACGGACAGCGTGAAACACAGATGTGGGTGCTGGGAACCAAAGTTATGATCTCAGCAAGGGCAGTAAGTATTCTTAAGCACGGATCCACCTCTCTAGCCCCACCCCATCCATCCCCAAGAGGGATCTTCATTAGAAGTAAAAAAAAAAAAAAAAAAAAAAAAAAAAAAAAATGATAAATTTGCCAAAGATGGGAAAGATGGCTGCAGACTTCTTTTACATTTCTACTGACCTAGTTTGTACTTTTCTCCGGGCCTTAAGACAACCTGATGTAGAAACCTACAATATGAACTTTGAACAGCCACCTTTTTCAACGCTAAAATGTTGGGCTTCAAAGACTGAGTCATCGCTTGCTGTCAGTTGCCCGTGAGCTACAAAAAAGGTAAGGGCTACAAGGAGTCAGTCTATCCGGCTTGATGTGGGAGATGAAGGCTACGGAGCTGGAAACAAGTAACGCAGAAGGGAGCGCATGTCTTCACAGAAGGAAACTCACCCCTCAGGCTGTGTGCCATGTGAAGTTTCACCTACCCAGGGGCTGCTGGGTCACTGCAGGAAAAAAAAAAAATCTCCTCCTCACAAAGAAAAGTCTGATTCCTGGAGTTAATTTAAGGCTTTCCTGATTTCACTCTTAATAAGGATAATAATTTCCAAATTACGAGAGCTATTATGTGGCTGTGAGTGGCACTCTCCCAAATCGTGGGACTTCAGAGTAGCTGGCCACTCCATGGGCTTGTTGAGGGACTGTGTGGCAGTGTCTGCACTGGGGGGGGGTCTCCATGGTCCTTCCTCCTTGTGCCAGCAAAATGCAGTGGCTTCCCTGGCTCTCACAGGAATCCTCTACTACACGAGGAATACTTGCTCCCTGAGTAACTTCTTCTGACCGCTACACAGAGCAAACAATGACATTTATCATGCTCTCCATAGTGACGGCCGTGGGTTCTTACCAAATTAATTACCAGCCCAGACTTTAAAACAAGAATAGGAGCCACCTGAAGTGTGAAATTCCACCATGGAAGGGGCACATGGAAGCCTAGCTGGACAGTAATACGTGCTATTCATGCAGGGAAAGCCACAGGGCTTAGAAGTCATGGGGTATTGTATTAATAATGAGCCTCGGCTTCCTTCCTCAAGGTAGGCACTGGGGTCAGAGGACATAATGAACTTCTATAAGATATAAGGACTAGTGAAATCCAGCAAGTATATTTTAAAAAAAGAAAGTGTGGTCCACTGATACAAAAGCCTGCATTGCTGGAACGATTTTATAATCCCAGTTCCTGTGAGGAAGAAACAGGAGGGCCAGAAATTCAAGGCCATCCTCAACTGCACAGGGAGATGAAAGCCAGCAGAGTCTACAGGAAAAATTGCCTCTAAAGAAAATCTGACTTTAGAGGCCAGATACTTGTGGGAAAGTACCTTTTAGGCCAGACAAGCCTCAGGGCCAGCTGAGAGGTCTCTGAGAATACAGCATTCATATGCAAAGGCCCCGGGCAGGGCAGGGAGTCTTTGCCAGATTTGCTCTGAACCTCAGACTCTGTGTCTCAGACCTCAACCAGGAAGTAGGAATCAGGAAGTAGGAATCAGGAAGAGGAAGCAGGAAGAGGATGCAGACGGAGGAAGCAGGAAGAGGAAGCAGGAAGATGATGCAGAAGGAGGAAGCAGGAAGAAAGAGGAAGGAGGAAGCAGGAAGAGGAAGCAGGAAGAGGAAGCAGGAAGCTACCCACACAGAGGAACATGATGTTCTGAACACGTAGTCACCACGGGTTCCTGAGTCTATGGGTGGAAAGGGAGGGGGAACCCCCAGGAAGCCTAGATCTAGAGCATGAAAGCAGGAAGTGGGTTACTACTAGCCGGGTCATGTGGTCCATACTGGGAGGAAAGCGTGGCCTGCTTTCCCATAGCAGGGCTAGACAAGCTGCTCCTCTGAGATGAGCAGGCTTACGTAGTGTCACTGGCTGATACGGAAATGTGGGTGTGCTGGCCTGGCCTTTTCTTTTTTGTTTGTACATAGGAAAACATTTTTTTTTTCCCTTTCAGAATTACCTTCTCTGTCAATACAGTCCAAACTAGGAAGGAAGCACACAGAATTACTACAGGAGGACTTGGCCTGACCAGAGGAGACCAGACAAGTCCTGGCTGCCTGGCATGGAGGACACAACAGAGTTGCAGTCACAGCCTGCATTCTCTGACCGAACATGCGTAGTCTACAGGCACTTAAAGCAAAAACAACCAGAAAGAACGAAACAGCAAGCTTCTTCCAAGCGTGGTGATCACGGCATCGAGTTCACCCTGGACGTCAGTGTAGGTCTATCTGCTGAGATCCTTGTTCCCCATGTGCCGTAGACAGACACTTGTGCGCCTTTCGGGGAAACCAGACACCTGGGGAGCGTCTTCCAGCAAAAGGTCTGCTTCCTTGTGAGTTTAAGTCTACTCTCCGCTTAATCTCAAATGGCCCTTGCAGTTGAGTTCACTTGGCACACAGATGGCTTTGTGTTTATTCAAACCACTGCTAGCTTCCTTCATATGCCAGTTCAACGAAGGGTGACATCAGGGATGCCCGTCCCTCACAGAGTAACTAGAGGCCTTGCAGAAATTCCTCAGCGACTCGCTTTAAAGACACTTTCTTCCCACACATATCTGGTCTTACACCGGCAATCCTTTCCACGTTGCCAAATCAGAGTTAGCTCTGAGATCGGCATGCTCCTTACCTGTCTCTTACATAGGTTCCCACGTCTGCCAGCATTCAGACTCTCGGTGGAGACCACCAGGCCACAGGGAAGCAAAGGTGTCAGCTTCCTCATGCCACACTACACCACGTGGTCCTGAGTGGTCACAGAGCTGCCTGCACCCTCGGATGCTGTACTCACCCTGCAGGGGCCGGTTCTTGAACAGGTCCCGGGCCTTCGCTGGGTGAGCTCGAGCGGTGTGGTCACACTTGGGCTGCTCATACCTAGGAGCCAGGAGAGGGTAAGAGAGAATTAGAGTCGGGATGAGACGCTGAGCTAGACTGGTCTCAAGTTTCCTACGTCTAACAAGCTACGCGCGGCTGTAGCTCCAGGATGTTCCGCGAGATCCATCCTTGCATCATGGCCCTGTGGTTTATTTGGCTCCTTGGTGGCTTGAGCAAACATTCCTAGGCCAACTTACATGCAAAGTGCACGGAACAAAGAGGCCTGAGGCTCTCACCTCACATGGCTGGACTTGGACTCTCTAGTTCCAGAAGAGTCCTGTGTACTGGTTCCTGAACACCCACCCACCCGTCTTCTACTTTGTGGTTTTATGAAAAGCAGGGTTTCTGCCCAGTAGTCCCTTGCAGTGTTTCCAAATGCACTTGACTCTCTTCAGAAAGGAGTCAGAATCAGAACTCAGGGCCCACAGTGATCTACCTTTGAAAGGCTGGCTAATTCTCAGTCCAACCCATGGAGCTACAAACATTTGTCCAAATACTTACAAAGGAAATAGAAAGAAGAAAGGAAGGTTCTATCTGGTGTTAATAGAAGGCCTTCTGCCTGGAGGTGCTTGCTTCCTCAATGCTGGAATGGAGTCCTGCACCCGAGATCACCAACTTCCTCCCTCTTTACCATACGCTTCTGTGGTAGTTTGAATATAATCGGTCCCCATAAACTCACAGGGAGTGGCTTTGTTGGAGTAGGTGTGTCCTTGTTGGAGGAAGTGTGTCACCGTAGCGCTGGGCTTTGAGGACTGATATATGCTCAAGCCACGCCCAGTGTCTCAGTTCACTTCCCGTTGCCCGCCTAAATAATGCAGGACTCAGCCCCAACACCATGTCTGCCTGCAGGCTGCCACGTCCCACCATAACGATAATGGACCAAACCTCTGAAACTGTAAGCCACCCAATTAAATATTTCCCTTTAAAAGAGTCGCCATGGTCATAGCGTCTCTTCACAGCAACAGAAACCCTAACTAATATAACTACACTCTTACTGTGAGGTCGGGGAAGAGGTTGCTTGGGCTGGGTGTGGAAGGCTGGAGAGGTCCACCCCAGTGAGGTAGGGTGGACAGCTGTAAAGGTACACACACACTTTTCTAAAAGAGAGTTTAAGGTACCTTTAGCCATGGTGTTGAGACTAGCCTTGGTTACATGGGAATTTAATATCACAAAAATAGTACTAACACATAATAAAAGACTTCTGACGGGACACCAGACCCGAGCAGTAGTGCAGCCCATCCGTGACAAGGCCCTAGGCCACTGCACCAATGCCCTCTTCACACAAATGCTACACCTCCCCTAAATGTCGCTTCTAAAATCAGTGTCCCCGATGCACCCTGCCAAACAGCTGAATGACCACGTCCCTCGGCAAAGCCACTGGAATATATCCTTTGAGAGCACAGGGGCTCGGTGACGGGACAGTGAAGACGGGGTGGAGGGAAACCTACTCAGTTGGCGTCTGCTGCCCAGGACCACAAAGTCAGACAAGAGCCAAGACGCCTCTGAAGACAATGGGGGGGGGGGGATGCGACTGGCCGCCTCAGCGCTCACTGATGATAAATCTAGAGAGAATAAATGCCCTGAGTAGGAAAGCTTCATTCCAGGTGCCAGGCATTGCCTGAGGCTCAGGGGTTAGGTAGGGCTGACGTCTATGCTACAGTGACCTGTGACCTGTAGGAAAGTGGCCATGTGCTCAGCTCCTAACTGACAGTATGGAGCCCCAAGCCAGCAGCCCCATCACATGTGAGCCGCAGACCGTATTACAGTGTCGGGTTGCTCTGAGCTCCGTTTCCAGCATTTCTGTCATTCACACGGTGCGAGCGCCAGGCCATTTCTGCCCCGTTCCAACTCGCTTCATCTTTGCTGTCACTTGGGGCACTGAAGTTTGAACAGCTTGCCAGTGCAGAGACAGTAACCTGGAGAGGGGCCCAGAGGGTTTTACCAACGTGAACTTGGCTGCAGCAACCTTTGTGCCTTTGGCAGCGTTTAGTTCACCCGAGGGGAACAAAGAACATCGCCTGGCCGCGGCTGCCCATCAGATACACCAGGCTTGCAGCCATGGAGAAGCGCAATTTCACGCCCACACGGCCACATGCACGCGGCCACTGTGCGGAGTGCTGGGGGTCAGAAACTCTGGCTGTCAGCCTGCACAAGGAATCCAATACCCCCCTCTGACCCCCGCTACTATTGGCCAGCAAGCAGCCAGGTAGAAACCTGCCCCCTCTCCCAGTCTGAGTGCCAGCAGAGCCCGGCAGGTGTGCCTAACTCCATGCAGGGTCACACAAAGTACGGTCAGAACGTCAATCTTGACCCCAAGGGGCAGGAGAGCCTGCAAGAGTCACCACCCCACCGCCGGTCTGCTCTGGAGGGAAGGTCAGCCTTGCAAGGATGATGGCAATACAGGGGGCTTGTGACTTTGACTCAAGTCCACAACAGAAGCTCCTTATCCCTGCGTGGTGCAGGGGGACAGAGAGAGATGGCTTACGAATGGCAAGGCGGTTGACATTTGCAGCTTCCTGGTTTCCAAGGCCAAGGGGTCCTCATGGAGTAGTAGGAAAAAAAGGCAAGGAAAGTAAATGCTGAGTGCAGTCTATCTAGGGCAAGTCCCGGAGGCCTGTTCCACTCTCTTGTTGCTCAGTGTCATGCAAAGGCTGCCCGGCGACGCCCTCCCTTCTGGTCGTTGGTCTGACCCTCACTGTGTGACCTGTGTGACCTGCACACCTCACTCACGGTCTCACTCCAGTATCATAACCTCAGGGGCCTCATCCTGTCCTTTCTCGCTCTGTGCCCCAAGTCCCTGTTCTTGCCCGATGCCCTTCAGATCGCTCATCATCCAAAACATTTCCTCATGGAGGCTTAGCCTACACGGACCCATTCTGTCATCATCACCAGCTTTCCCCTCCCCTCCGGAAGACCTGGTGTTTATCCTCCCCATTCCCTGAGCCCCCATCTTCCAGCACGATGCCTGGAACACTAGCGGACATTCAGATCACTCAAGTGTTTACCGAAAGGAAAAGGAAGGAAAGGAAGCCAGGGCACGTTCTCGTTACCACTGCCCAAGCCCAACAGCACAGCACTGCCCAGCAGAGCCGTGGTGGGGTGTGTGAGCCTGACTATGCCTCTCCTGCTGCCGCTGCTCCGGCTGAACCCTCTGCACCCCACACGCTAGCTACCTCTGCCCCACGGGCTCATCTTCCCCAGGACACTGACTGCACCCTCCCATGACCACAAAGGCTGGCCTGCTCTCTGCCTTGGCGTCAACTTCTATGTACAGGACGGTTGGATGCTGAGGGTGGTGGTACCATCTGCTTTCTCACAAAGTCAAGTTTGTTAAACTGGAACCTGGCCCTGACCTGGTGCTCAATGGAGGAAAGCCTGGTAAACGGCGGCTCCCTTCCCTGGCAGGGCTGGGGACAGTCTAGGGATGAGACTGTCACTGAGCAAGTCCGCCAGTTCAGCGGGGAAAGGTTGCTCCCACTGTCTGAAAGAGGAACTCACTCGGGGCCAGAGAAACGTTAACAAGAGCATCAGCTGCGCCCCCAGAGGATGTGGGTTCAGTTCCCAACATCCACGTGGCAGCCCACAACAGTCTATAACTCAGGTCCTGCCCTGGCTTTTGTTTAGTGGATGGAAGGAAGGATGGTTCAGAAGAAGGCAACCATCTGAACAGCCCTTTCAGTCTGGTCCAGTGTGAGCCCTTTCCTGAACCTTCCACGGGGCAAACATGGAGCTGAGGTTGTCCTGTTCTCCTGAAACGCAGGGCAAGTCTGCACAGAGGAAAGAGTGACTGGCTTTCCGCTCAGTCACACTCTGAGCTGCTCTCGGGCTCTCCGGAGATAGCATTACCAATGCTGGTCTCATTGTCTCAGAGCCAGCTGGAGGGGTGCTGTTTTCGACTCTGCAAGGATTTTCGTTGCCCAACTCTAAGAAAACATCTTCTCCTCTATGGCTGAAGCGTGGCGTGGGACCAAGCCTGCATCTGGCAGGAGCTCACTAGTGCCCCACATGAGGAATGGTGAAGGAGCCAGAGGCTCTGTGTGTAGCAAGACCATCCTTCTGCCTACACACAGGACAATGAGTTACCATAGCCAAACCCAGTAATGGTGGCGTTTTTTTTTTCCAGCTCAGCCATGCAAGAGCTTACTTCCTAAGGCTGTACCAGGTCTCTGCTTTGTATTAGCTTTCTGTGTCAGTGAGAACACACACCTGTCCTCCAACGTGGTGAGGGCAAAGTGGTGTTGACTGCTAGGGTCATCTGTGATGTCATAACATATCCAAACCAGACCCCCAAGAAAGACTCAGGAGCTAAAAAGGGGAGGGGGCTGGACTTGATCTTGATGAAGCCACTGACATTTCGGCCAATTTTTGAGGTCTGTGCTGACCAGTGACTCCCACCGAGAGCTAGCTGTAACACCTGAATAATTTAGGGAGAATTTTGGTGTTCATCTGGGCACGTGGGATGAAACTCGAGCACGGAGCTCGAAAGTCTGATAGAAAAGACATGTGCACATTTAAGAGTCTAGGAAAACATTATCAAAGTCAAAGGGCACACGGCTGTTGACAGGTCCCCACTGAGCACAGGCACCCATTCAGGAACACCCTGCCCAGGTACATACTAGCTTCTGCTGGCACTCTGGGAGAGCGTAACTGTTTGCTCAAACCGACAGAGAACACAAACAAATCCTGAATAACTGATTGCTTTTGCCTTACAGGTTCTTCTCCTTAAACGATTTTTTTTCCCCTAGATGCGTGTATTATGTCTTATTGAAAGCTATCCGACCATTTGACCTCTTAAACGTTTAACCTCTGTGTCTTTTGTGTGGTCCAAATGTTCTTTGCCAACCTTCTGCTTCGTGCTCGGTGGCCTATGACTGCTAAAGGTGCGCTTCCCTGCCTCAGGAAGCCTAAGCACAGGGAACAGAGGACAGCGTCCCTGTGCGATTGTCACACCCAGAGTAGGACACTAAGTTTAAGAGGAGCTGAGCCCACAGTAGAAAGAACTTGGTGGCAGGGTATCGGGAGGGGGTGTGATGTTCAGTTTTCCTGGCTCCTACAAGGATGCATTTACCTGGTGGAGGTCCCCGGAATGGGCCGCCCGGTGTCCACCAGCACACACCAGCAGTAACCAGTGGACGGGTGGCACTGTACTGGCTTGTAGAGGCCACCGTGTGCACACTCGGGGATCACTACGTTGTCGTTTTTGGGCTGCTTGGCCTCCTCGAGAGCTGACTGGTGCTCCTGGTCACAGGAGGAAGCTGCAGGGAGAGACAAACAGGTGGTGAACAGGCACAGGAGGAGCCAGCCCTGGCGACCCGTGCACGGCCGCAGCTAAAGGATGCTGTGTGCTGTCCCAGCGCTACAGTGGGAACCAGGCCTAAGGACAGGCAGGAGGTCCCCTCCTACCTCCGCAGCCATAGGAGGCTGTTTTGTGCAACAGAAAAAGAGCATGTGATTCTTTTCAGGAGGCTGTGCTGTGAGCACCCCCCCCCACAAATGCTCCCCGAGGAGGACTGGTTCTTGTTCCCAGGTTCCCCATGAAGGAAACACTCACTCCCATACAGGGATCATGGCCTACAGTATACAAAGGTCATCTCTTCTCAGGCTAAAGACTCGGTTTCTTCTTGGTCTTTAGCTACCTCTGGTTTACATCCAAGGGGGCATCAGCCAAAAGGACAGAGATATAAACCGGCACGTGCGCACACATTCACACACACACACTCACACACACACACTCACACACTCACACACACACTCACACACATACACAAACTCACACACATACACACACACATACACACACTCACATACACACACTCACATACACACTCTCACACACACATACACCCACACTTACACACACTCACACACTCACTCACATACACACTCACACACACACACACACTCCTGCTTTCCCAATAGCCCAAGTGTGGGGATTAAACCAGTAAGTGAAAAAAAGAACCAAAGACCCTAGAGTGGCCACAAACAGTTTCACCCTGACAGAGGACAGCAAGGAAAGGCTCCGCCCAAGGTAAGAGAGAAATCTCTACAACTTGTCAAGTGGTACAGGGCGACTGCCCGTCTAAGCCGGCTCTGAAGGCGCTGGCCACTGCCACTAGGAGTGGGTGGACACTGCGGTGTCGGGAGAAGAAGTAAGGGAGGTGAAGTGCAGCAGCCCGGCAGACGTGAATCTGGGCGGAGCCTAGCCCAGGTGATACTCTTAGGACCAGGAGATGCCAGGCACAAAGTGGATCTCTGGCCAGCCTCGTGGTCTGTCATCACGCTGTCACTTTCTCCATCGTTCCAGGGCTGAAAGAACATTTATATAGCATTCACTGCATGCGCAATTAACGTCCCCAGATACACCAAACTGTAGAAAGCCACATAGACGTTAGCTAGCTCATTGGGTGATTCTGGGGCCAGCTCTGTGCATGCTCCTGTTAACTGACTACATTGCCAGGCACAGTTTCTAGGTTTCTAAAGCCCACAGCATTGTGTGTGTGTGTGTGTGTGTGTGTGTGTTAACTGCGAGAGATGCACCTTGCTGATGGCGCCCTACCCCCCTCCCCCATGTTGCTCTTTGGAAGGACGGCTGGATGATGAAGAGGAAGCTAAACTGAGCATCTGTCCAAACAGACATCATCTGCGGGGATCGTTCAAGCTCACTAAATGCAAAAGAGAAATGGAGAAATTCGGCCTTGGCTGCCACTCTCCATATGGTCTTCACTTTCCGTGTTATCCTATAGGTGTACCTCTCCATATGGTCTTCACTTTCCGTGTTATCCTATAGGTGTACCTAACGAAGGCAGGCGTGTAAATGAAAAGCCCCTGAGGTTGGTGAGGATCTCGACGGAAGCCTTTCACCAGCAGGAAAGCCCGCACGCAACAAAAATCGACACCCACTGGTCTTTCTTCCCGAATCCCGCCAAGGCTGTGATACCCATCCAAGGGGGCCAAGCAGCACAAGGGTTCAGGCAACTATCTTTGAAGACAGTTGACACTCTCCATGGAGCCATTTGGGTCATCAATGTGAGAATAAACAGGGCAGCAGCTGGGCCGAGTGTGCGGCTTGGCAACACGGACCTCTTCAGTTTAGCTAAGGTCGCTTGGCACTTCTTCAAAACTTCATTAGTTCATAGAATGTACAGTATGATTATCTGGCCACAAAATATTTTTGGTGCTCCATTCCAAGGACATACTGTGTGTACGGGACCGGTAGTGGAAAATTTTTGAAATGTCCCTGAGAAATTTATGACACATTCGAAAGGGCCTCTTAAGAGAAATGAAATTGATTGAATTAAAAAAAAAAGCTCCATAATTTCAAAAATTAGTTGCACATATTGTAAAACGTCAAAGCTACTATGGTCGAGACTGATGAAATCCTGTCTGTGTGAACATTAGGGTGCTGAAGATGTCAAATTGACATTTGACAATCTGCTTGCATATTGGAAACTCAAGGCTACTAGGAAGATGGATGCAATCATATTCTCTTGTACGATAAACCACCATGAAGGCAGAGGATGTTTTAATAAATGAGTGAGACTTCCATAAATAGAAGGCAATTCATAACGTGGTCCCTTCCCCTCCTGGCTCCTCCCAGGCCCTGACGCTGGGGAGATCTGCACAGGCCACTCTTGGAGGTCCTGCAGCACACACAGCCAGCTCACTGTAAAATAAATGCAATGTTAAAATGAAATGTTCATCACATTTACCTCAATCCACAGCTAATTAAGTCCTGGAAGGACTAATCCACTTCTATCTTTTTTTTTTTTTTTTTTAATTTATTTCTAAGTTGTGTCTCAAGAAGAAATCAGGTAAAGCCGATTTTCAGAGTAAAAGCGTTTTATTACTCAACTCTGAATTAATCCTTTCAAAAGTTTGACTCAGTGACGAAATAAAGGAAGATGAGAAAAATCTACTAAAAGGAACATTTTTTTTCTATTTTAAAAATTTATTTTACATACCAACCACAGTTTCCCCTCCCTCCCCCCTCCCACTTCTCCCCCCCCCCCACTTATCCACTATTCCTCCATCTCCACTCAGATGGGGTAAGGTTTCCCATGTGAATGAACAAAGCATGCCACATCAAGCTGAGACAGGACCAAGTTCCTCCCCCCTGCATCAAGGCTGAACAAAGCATCCCACCGTAGGGAATAGGTTCCAAAGAGCCTGCTCATGCATCACTAACAGGTCCTGGTCCCACTGGCAAAACCAAACCAAACCAAAAAACAATAAATGGAGAGGTATGGCGTGCAGATGGGTAACAAGACTTAGGAACATTATCAAGTCAATTTCTCTAAATTAATTAGTGGACATAATGTATTTCTTATCAAAATCTGATCAGCTCCCCAGTGGAACCTGACACACGGACTCTAAAATGAATATGGAAAGTTCCAAAGACCCAAAATAAAGCATCGCTCCATGGTTAGGGGGCTAATGTTGCCTCATTTGGAAAGGTACTATAAAACCATTCACCCCAGCAGAACAACTCACTGGGGGGGGTGAAACTTCTCCCAAGAAATGTCAGTAGAGTATCAGAATGACGGTGGACCAACTGAACACACACACACACACACACACACACACACACACACACACACACACTGCATGATAATTGTGTGAGACGGGAGAGACATGAATACAGAACCCGAGATGTAAAGACTAAAAATTGAGCGTTAGGAGTACCCCACCCCACGTTACCACCCCCACTGTCTTTCGGACAGACTGACCACAGAGGAAAAACTTGGCAAATTAGACTTCACTAAAATTTACAACAATCACCAAAAGGCGCAATTAAATAGTAAAAGGCAACCACAGACTGGGGGAATGTTCCTAATGCACACATCTGCCAAAGACCCCAGGTCTTTACATCAATAGAACCACAAATAACCCAATCTGAAACTCACCGAGAGTTCAGAAAGCGAGCCATCAACCGAGCAAAGAGGGCAGCTTCGCTAGTCACCATGAAAATAGCAACTGTAACCTCAGTGAGGCGTCACACACATGCACGCTCCAAATTAAAAACACTGACACCAAATGTTGGCAGGACACGTAGGACCTGCAGCTCCCGGAGCCTCCTCATAGCAGACCCAGTGCTGAGACCACTATCCTGTCCTAGACACGCATCCAGGAGAAATTAAAGGGCAAGCTCATGAAACAGCCAAGGGAAGAATGAATAGACACAGGGTCTTCTCAAAGGTCCCAGCCCGACTGAAAAAAAAAATGCACAAAATGTTACATATTGTATGCAATAATATAAAGTTGTATGTATATATCACAGAAAAGGAAGGATGGGAACGTGTGTGTGTGTGTGTGTGTGTGTGTGTAATATACATAGGTCCTGACTCTCAAAACCACTGTACTGATTTCAAAAATAACACCTCAGAAGTTAAAAAAACATCCTTTACATCGATGCATAAGAAAGTCTACAGCAGTGAAGAGTCATGTGTGGTGGCTGGGCTCATGGGGAGGCCCTTGCTGTCCATGGGGGCCACTCTCCAGAGCTATGGAGTAGCATCCACTGTGGGTAGTAAGGCACAGGTTCAGGATCTCCAGAAGCGCCGTGCGTTTACCCAAGTATCCCTCAATGCTCTTGAGACAAGATCATCTTTCTGTCTCATTCTATTAGTACTTTCACACTTGTAATCAAACAAAGTCCGTTACTGAGGAAGCCCCTAAAACTTTATTTCCCTGTGTTGGCATTTTTCACAGAGGGCAGCAACTCACATGTGATAACACAGAAATGCCACGAAGGATAGAGCTGATACACAGTCCATGTGCACACGCAATCTTGCCTTGTGATCTTCCAAGAGGATGTGTGGTTGCCCTTCTCCACTGTCCACTGAGCAATGAATTCTCTCCATGAGCTGCAGAGTATGAATGAGGTATGGACAGCCGTGGTCTCCAGGTCTGACTTTCTGTGCGCTCATTCCCCTTTGTATATAATGACACTGCGGGCCCCGGGGTGCTGGTTTTATTAGAGAGAACGCTTTCCTTAAGAAGTGAGAAGGACGCTTCGATACAGCTCTGTTTCCTGTGAACTTGGTCCCACACTAAAGTTCTGGGAGGCCAGAATTCCCTGAGTTCCTGGGCTTCCATGGTAAATATCACGGTGCCCCCCCCCCCAAACCCTGCCACCGCTAGCTGGCCTAATATCCCCATACACACACTCTGTACTTGCGTTTTGCTTGCTAATCTGATGTGTGCTTGTGGGGACTGGTTTGTTTACCTACAAGGACCTGTGCTAACTTCCTGGCGG